AAAGCCCCCCGAGCTCCGGTTCTGCCCTTGCTTGTCCCCCTCGCCACTGCTCACGGCCTCAGGCGCAGTGTCCCTTGCAGGTCCCCAGCCGCCCTGCTGCTGTCCCCAGCCACCCCCACGGCACCCACGGGCCCTCGGGCAGCTGGGAGTGAAAGGCACCCAGGGGCTGAGGCTTTGCGGGCCACCGGAACTAGGAGAGCAGCACTATTTTCCAAATCCTGGTTTATGAAGGGAACCACTGATAGCCCCACCACCTGCTGACTCCCTGAAACTCGCAGAGCTCCGACAGTCTGCCAGGGTTTCTTAAAATTACGGATGAGCTTCGTCTCAGCAGCTACATAGTATTTGAAACGTGGTCCCAAGCCCTCTTCGGGCTGCATCAAACAGGGTGAAGAAGGAAAAGGCACCTTTATCGACTTGCAGAAGTTGTAAAAGGGAACATCGAAACACTCTGTAGAAAAAAAACCTAGATTTGCACACTTTAACTTTCCTTCCTATGTGACCACCATGTGCCTCTGCAGGAGTTTGCATTTCAGTGTGATCAGAAATACCCTGCTCTGCACACAGCAGGCAGCTGGTGTGAAGGAAAACAGTAACTTCTAGTTTTTGAATAAGGCAGCTGCAGATTCATCCTGCAGACTTTCTTCTGTTCCAGATGAAAGACATCTCTTCACATTTTGGTAATTTGTCTGGCTTATGGAGGCACTTTGCACACACACACACACACACACACACACACACACACACACAAGAAAAAAAAATAACGAAAAAAAAAAGACGAAAAAAAGACCATCATCAGGTTCTAGTGTGAGGATAAGCTTCAGTAGTTTTCCTTGTAGGCAAGAATTTTCTAGGAGATGCAGGTTGCTCTAATTCCACTTTTCTCAGAAGTGATTTATGTGAAATCATTACTTAGGCTATTTGAATGGAAAATACTCCCAGTTTTTGAAGTGCAGAGAGAACAGTGGATGGAAAAGTTAGCTGACAGGAGTGAGGTTTCATATTAAAAAATCATGCAGTTAAACAGCTTTATGTGTATATAAAATTATGCTTTTAAAATATATTTAAGAGTGGAAAGAGCAGGGACAGACTTTAACACAGGAGTTTGGAATGGGTGGGAAGGAAGAACATGCAGCCAACAGGAGGTGGGAAATGTTACAGAATTAGTAATTCCACTAGTTCCAATACCTGCTCTGAGAAAAATAAACAGGCAAATAAATAAATAATCCTGCAGTTGTTTTTCATAGAATATATGCCTGCACAGAGATGCATTGCCAGTGAGACAAAATAATAGGGACAGTCACGATCAGAAGGGATGTTTCTTGAAGACTTACTCTAGAAAGGAGAGCCCTACCCTCCAGGATGACCTGGACAGACTGGAGGAGTGGGCTAACGGAAACCTTATGACATTCAACAGAGAGAAGTGTAAGGTCTTGCATCTGGGAACACATAACCCAGGAGCACAGTTCAGACCAAGATCTACCTGGCTGGAGAGTGGCCCTGTGGAAAGGGACCTGGCGGCCTTGGTGGATAACAGCCTCAACAGGAGTGACCACTGTGCTGCAGGGGCAAAGAAAGCCAACAGGATGCTGGGCTGCATCAACAAGGGCATCACCAGCAGAGATAAAGAAGTCATCGTCCCACACTACTTGGGGCTTCTCAGACCACACCTGGAGTATTGCCTTCAGTTCTGGTCCCTGCTCTACAAAAAGGATGCAGACAGGCTGGAGAGGGTCCAGAGAGGGGCCACAAGGATTATCAGAGGACTAGAGGACCTGCCATATGAGGAGAGGCTGAGAAAAGGCTTCAGGAAGACCTTATTACCATGTTCTAGTACTTAAAGTGTGGCTACAAAGAAGATGGAGATTCCCTTTTTACAAGGAGTCCCATGGAATAGACAAGGGGTAATGGGGACACGTTGCTTCTGGGGGGATCCTGACTAGACACAGTCACGATGAGGACAGTCAAACATTGGAATAATCTCTCAAGGGAAGTGGTAGATTCCCCGACATTGGACAGTTTTAAGTCTCAGCTTGACAGGGTGCTGAGCCATCTCATATAAACTACAGCAGTACCCAGAAAAGCTGGACCTCTGAAGGTCGTGTAGCTCAGCCCATTGTAAGGCAATTATTTAACTTTTCTCTTTATCACATTCTGATATCAGCAGAAAGATGCATCTCAGTCATCTATGTTTCTACATCAGTGATACTGGTTTCTTCATCCTAACCAATCCTCATCTTAACCACTGACCTGAAGGCTGGCCTTATTTCCCAGGTGCAATACAAGTCCTATCTTACAAAGCTTTCAGGTATGAGATAGAGCTGTCTTCAACAGTGCAGACCATCCACAAGCACTGCCATGGTGTCTCCTGAAAAAGGCTCACCTCAGGTTTTCACGGTGGGAATGAATAGTGAAGCAACATCCATGCCATAAAAATGGTGGGAATTCTGCAGAAGAAATGATTGCAGGTTGTTATACATAACCACTAAAGTCAGCTGGCTATGTTTATATGAATACTGTGTTTGGCCGCACCCCTTGAGAAACCCTCTCCTGCTCCCAGTCCCCATGAGATCAGCTTTGCTCAGCTTTGGTGGCTGATGGGCTCTCACACCTGGGTTCCCTCTGCAGCCCCATGTGGCACAGCTCACTCTGGCTCACTGGAGCTGCCTGTTCTCAAGTGCTTCTTCTGTTCAATTGTCCTTGGCTCTGCACCCCTTCACTAAATACCTCCTTTGCACTTGCATCCTGCTGATTCAATGGAACCACAGGAGAGATGACTGTCTCTCACCTATACTGACTAATTGCAGAGCTTATCCATTAACACCAGTATCCTGTTTTTCTTTATTTGCCTGTTCTCTGCTTTGCAGCTCTTAGTACAAAAGAAGGTGAGGATTCCAAGGCTGGCAAAAAAAATCCTTTCAGTGACAAACACTGCCTGATTATTAACATTGGGCAATGTTTAAGTGTTACAAAAGATAAGCTCTTTAAATACTCATAAAAGTCTGACAAAGGCAGAGCAGAGAAGGACGAACAGCTGACGTAGCCAGGCTGATACTATCTTTGTAGGACAGAAACAAGCGTAAGGTACAGGGTTTGATACAGTAACCATTTTTATGTAGTAATTGAACAGTTTGTCACAGATCTTGCTGGTTTTTTTCTCAAGTATAGGAACCAATATTTTCTAATTGTGCTGGAGTTGAGACCTGGCAATGACATGTGCAGGCACTGGGCTAACGTTGCTGCTTCAGCAAGTTACCCAGCTGGTGCTTATGCCATGAGGTCTGCGTGCAAGCGAGAGAGACAAAGTGGGAAGTCAGAGAGCCAGGGGACAGGGTAAAGAGGGATGGGGTGGGCATAGTTTGGAGGACAGCTGGCCTGTCAGCCCATCATTGTTCCTTGTCATTCTTCTGCATCATGGTTTCACAAAGGCAGTTTTGCAAATACACCATTAAAATTAGATCTGTCCCAGTGAGATCCCAGACCTTTGGATATCTGCTGTTCTGTGCTCTCTGCATTCAAAACTTCCCCTCTTTCTCAATTACTTAACAATTAATCTCTCCTGCTTCACACTCCTCCTGTACTCTACCTTGAAGCTCTTTACAACCTATCTGTTTCTCT